TATTCCTTTTTAGCCCTTGTTTTTGCTCTTTTTTTTTTTTTTTTCAACCCTACTCCTCTACAACTTACCTCCCACCGCCCCCCCTCCCCCTGAAAAAAAACAACTTACCTCCAGCGATCCGCTCTTCTGATGCGTGATTAATGCTCGGACAAGTGCTTCTTGACGCTTCAGAGAATTAACAACGACTGTCTCACCGCCTCGTGGCAAGCCGCGGCCAAACTGAGTGAGTCCACCGAAGCGCCGAGCTTGCTTCAACTGATCCGCAAAATCTGTTCTCAAATACAAACAACAAAATTTAGTTTCAACTTTCAACAAACTTAATTTCAACAAAAATTATTTCTACAAAATTTAGTTTCAACAAAAAATAATTTCAGCAGAGGCTACCAGAGTGGCCCGGGGCAAGTTGTCCGGCAGGGCAAAAAAATATATATATAGTTTTTCAAATTTGGCAAATAATTTCGATGTGACCCTGAGGCAAAAGTTGTTCAGTTTATTTTTCTGCATCACATAGTTTTTTTTCAGATTTTTTGGATCTTCTTTTTTTTTTGCTGGCCCTTCGCTCGCACGGGAGGGCTGCCCGGTCAAACAAGGTGACCCACAAAATTACTTATTTCGAGAAAATTAATTTCAACAAAATTAATTTCAGATTTTGCCCGGTAACAGTAAACCGTAGGCAGAGAGGGAGAAGAGAACAACAAACGAGGGGCTGTGCCAAACTGTTTCATCGCAGTTGCACCGACTCATCAGGAGGCTATCGTCATATATATCGTCAAATAGAACTGCCCGGTAAACCGTAGGCAGAGAGGGAGAAGAGGACAACAAACGAGGGGCTGTGACAAACTGTTTCGTCGGAGTTTCACCGACTCATCAGGAGGCTGAACCCTAGGCTACCAGAGTGGCCCGAGACCACTTGCCCAGCCAGGCCAAAAAAAATAAAAAATAAAAAACATTTTTTTTTTTGTATTTTTACTTTAAATTTGGTAAAGAATTTCGATGAGATCCGGAGGCAAAAAAGTTGTTCAGTTTATTTTTGCATAACATTTTTTTTCAGATTTTTTGGCTTTTTTTCTTCTCCTTTTTTTGCTGGGACCTTCTTTGGTCCTTGCCCGGCCAGGCCGACCGGGCAAACAAGGCGACCCAGGCAGCCCGGCTGGTAGCCTAGTACAGCCCCTCATTTGTTGTCCTCTTCTCCCTCTTTGCCTATGGTTTACCGGGCATTCTGTTTGATGATATACATATCGTCATATATGTTCCTGCATACAACAAAAAATAACTTCTACCACCTGGGCCGCCCCGGTCACCCTCTTTTCCCGAGCGGCCCGGCCGTGCAAGGACCAGGGAAGGTCCGAACAAAAAAATAAAAATAAATAAAAATCCGAAAAAAAACTATGTTATGCAGAAAAATAAACTGAACAACTTTTGCCTCAGGGGCCTGGACCCACTAGCGAAGTATTCTACGATGTGTGACGCAATTTTATGGTTTTTTGGAAAATACAAAGTGATTTTTTATTTGCATGAATGGATCGTTTTCTGATTTAAAATGAATTGAAATAGCAGATAAAAGTATGAAGAACAGCTGTGCACCCGAATTCATTGGTTGGTACGATCTCCTTCACGTAAGTCTTCATTCTTCATAGTGATGTACCGTGGCAATAAAATGTGTCCACGAACACAGCCACGAGGATGAACAAGTAATGGCTATAGGGATACATCATCCCCATGTATCTCATGATGCCTCTAACAGGCCATCCGACAGACGCGGAAGCGTTCCTGTCAGATCCACCACCATATCTGAATTTCACATTTCAAGTTCTATTTCTCAGAGCCAAAAATAAAAAAACGAAGTCTGGAAATCAACCCCCCCCCTTTAGAGCCCATAAAATCCATACTTCCCGCCCACTCAAAGCCACGAGCTATCATGTCCAAGTTAGTCCAACCTTTTTTTTTTTTTCAACGCATCTCATTGGACGGGAGGTGGGCATCTTTACAGTCCCCACTCAGAAACTACCAGGCCGTCGAGATCCGATCTATTCGACGGCCGTACTGTGTCACTCGAGGCCACACGTGATCGAAATCCTCAACGAAGTGGTAGAATACTTCGCTAACCGGTCCAGGCCCCAGCGTGACATCAATTCTTTACCAAATTAAAAATAAAATAATAATAAAAACTAATTTATTTTTTTACTTTTTTGTTTCTTTTTTGGCCCGGCCGGACAAGTGGTCCCAGGCACCAGGTTTCTTGCAACCAGCGCAGTCCTGCTTCGAGGGGGCGGTCCCTTCGAATCACTTTCCGGGACCAATCCGCTTTAATTGCTGCTGCCAGCAACGAGCCGATGGTAGCTTCAGCTTGCCTCTCTGGGACACTTCCCCTCGAAATCTCAGACTATTCCTGTCTGACCAGATTACCCAGAGGATGATCGCCCTACCCACCTGAGCAACATAGCCCCAACCCTTCCCCCCACTGCATCCATCCGGTAGCCCTCCCAGATTAACCCACCGATGGATGACCAACTGACTCTGACGGTCCTGCCACCATCATCCAGTGATACTCCCACCACTGCCACCATCTTCCCGACTTCGGACACTCCGACCATAGGTGCTCTACTGTCTCCGAAGGAGCCTGCCTGGCACCTATCACATTTGTTATCAGCCTTTATTCCCTGCTCCGAAAGCCATTGAGGAGTTGGTACTGCCAAGTGTGATTGCAGCCGTAGTAATGAAGCTAATCTCTGTGATGGTAGAGACTGCAGTTGTGACCAGATTCTGGACAGTTCCCTCTCGGAGGGGGTATTCAGACCTCTCACCTCCCTGCTCCAGCGAGTGATGACTTTTGTCTTTTGTTGGGACAGAATTCGCACAGCAACTCTTAGAGACTTGGTTTCGCATCCAACATCTCCAGCCCAATTGCCAGTTTGACATCTACAGTCCAACCCCACGTTGGGTTGATTCTCATGTCTTTTGACATGTACAGTCCAACCCAACGTCGTTGGGTCGATTCTCATGTCTTTCAACAAGGTCCAAGTACGGGATCATCGGGAGGCCTTCCTCTGCAGGTGCCTTCGACCTCACCCGGACTTCCGATAAACCATTGAGACCAAAGTGCAGACGCATGCCGACCCTCTCGGACTCAGGAAGGTTCGGCGTAGGGTCCCGCTTGTACGATTCCAACCAGCATTTCCCAGATCCATCTGACAGCCAACTCTCTCTAACCTGTAGAACCAACCAGGTTCCCCATCTTTCCATACATACCATGTCTCTGATTGGCCAAGGCCTTCAGGACCCAGCAAAAGCTTCCACGAAAGAGCGATGGCCTCTTTTATAAATTCCATTCTCTCCTCCTGGACAGGAAGCTGTCCCCCCAGATGGACTTTCAACTGTTGAGCTGACTTCCACTGATTTATACTGTCATCCCAAAGATCAGCCACAGTTGAGATGCCCTTCCGAAGCCAGGACTGGCCGAAGGAGCCTCCTGGCTTTCTGTCCAATGAGAGCCATTCTCCATCAGGTCCTCCGATGTGGTCATTTTCGAACAGGTGCTGGCGCCTAACCTCTTCCTTGGATCTTGGCTGCAGGATGATTGTTGGTCTGACCTTTCTCCATCCCGTCAGAACCTGCCTCCAAAATTTTGACCCTCCAAAATTTTGAGTTCAGGCGTTTCCGGGAATACATTTTCGACATAATGGCCACCCCCGGACGTCTGCTGAGCGTGATAGCTTCCGGTCAGAGGCAAGGAGCAGCTCCGGCAGATAAATCCAATCCACACTGAGCCCCTGCCTTTTTTCCACGTTAACTATCCATTTGGACAGCAAGGCATTATTCTGCACCCCCGGATCTAGGATCGACGGTCCACTTTCATCCCTTGGGGTGCAGATGGCGTCCCAGACGACCTTGGAGATAAACCCCTTCTCCTGGTCCCCCTCCGGCTTCCAAATGAAACGCCGAGCAGCCCTTTTAACTGTTTTCAACATTGGCGCTGAAAACCGACATAGCAGAGCCACGACAGATATCATTATTGCCAGTGCTCTGCCACTAAGCGACAAATGGCGCGCTTTACCCCAACTCTAACGATTTTGCTTACCTTCTCTTGGAGGATTTGCTGTTGAGAGGAGGTACAGTCTCCTAGAGCCACCTGCACCCCTAGGAAGCGCTGAGCAGTCTCTGCCGGCACTCACTCCATCCCCCAATGTACCTCCAATGAGTAGGATTTGGGCAAGAAAAAAGTGGAGGACTTGTTCCAATTGACTGCGGCCTCTGACAGCTCAGCAAAGTCAACCAGGCACTGCTTCAAGGCTTCCAGCGATGGTTTCTCATTTGCAGATATAGCGAAACAGATCATCCGCTAGAGCTTTGACACGGCTTTCTTTCCCATTTGGCAGCACCAGGCCTGAGATATCAAGGTGGCACCTTACATTACACAACAGATTTCAAGGTGACACCTGGTATTACACAACAGAGGTTCTAGACGAAGCACGAATAGCAAGGGGGCCAGGGGGCAACCCTGACGCAAGGAGCATGTCAGCTTAAACTCCTGAGAGATGTGGCCATTCACACATACTGCAGCGGGCGGTAGAGAAACCATACATTGTTTTTTAACCCGCCGACAAAAAAACTTCACCAAAACCCGAAAATCTCAGTGTAGCTAAAACAAATGTCCAGTTCACCCTGTCCTAGGCTTTTTCCAAGTCTACCGGTAGCAACAGAACCACCACATCAACCTCCTCCCTATCCATGAACTCCAGTGCTTCTAGTTTTGCAACTGTGTATACTCCCAATGAGAAGGGGAATCGTATGATTTTTTATTTTTTTTTTATATGCTCCCGTACGTCCTACCACAAGCCAGTCACATGATAATCGCGGCGGATTGGGATTGGGATTGGGATTGGAATGCAGTCCGCTGTCCGGGTCTGGATTCAGATTCAGAGGAGGGTATGTCGAGAGACCGGGCTAGGCAATTGAAGTGGATGGAATCCTGGTGCTTGGGGGATGTATATCGGGATCTGTACCCAACGGACCCGTGTTACACAGGGTGGAACAGACTCCACAGCATGTAGGGGTTATGAGGCGGATAGATTGCTTCTTTCTCGTTTCAGAGGCTGCAACATGCGACGTACGTTTTGAAAGATCGAAATTCATCGAACCAGTAAACAACGAGCCGTTATCTAACCCTAAACCCTAAACCTGTGGTGATGAAATATGCTTTTTGTCCTCGTTGGTAGAGAGAGGCCCGGGCTGTTTTTTTCCGGATGAACACAGAAGCTTCTCTCCGACGACGGCAACAGAATTTTTTTCCAATCAATCCTGATTGGAATTTTTTTCCAATCAATTACAGAGTGGGTTTCGGGATTCTGGATTGATTGGAAAAAAAATTCCAAACAGGAATTCGAATCCCCTTGCTGACTGGTTTGATGCCGGTTGGAGGATGGTTGGTTTCAGTACGGCTAGATTCCTGCTCACAGATTGCAGATTGCAGCATACCTCTCTCCGCAATAAGGAGGAAGGAGAGTTGTGGGAGAGGGTAGAAGAAGCGGAATGGAAACTGGGGGATCATCCCCTATTTCGGACTTGTTCAGGGCTGAGAGAAGCGGAGAGACAGGCTGAGGAGGCGGGAGTGCGACACTGGCAGGTGCAGAAACATGAGTGGTGGTCCAAGATTCTCCAAGTGCAAGAAAAAAAAAAAAAAGATTTTCCAAGTGAATTGGATTGTGTCGTCGGACAGGATGACAAAGGGAGAGCTTCAGAAGGCAATTCCCGAGGCATCACAGTGTACACAGATGAGGGGGTCGAAACACCCCCATCAGTCAGCTGGGCCGTCCGGTCGCTGTTTGAGTAGAAACAGCCCCATCAGTCAGCTGGGCCGTCCGGTCGCTGTTTAAGTAGAGACACCCCCATCAGTCAGCTGGGCCGTCCAGTCGCTGTTTCAAAGAGCGACATGTGCAGAGCTACGCGGTGGACTGTTTTCACAACATCATGACAACTCGACGGCCTTAGCGCCTCGCCACACCACACGCGAAATGTGAAAACGACAAAAATGAGGCGGGTGCATCTGGCCATCTTATAGGGGGAAGTTCATGTTCATTTTGCAAATTTCGACAGTGGTGTGGCTAGCTATGCCCTCTTTCGAACGACGACCTCGATGACAACATGGCCGCCGGCTCAGCTCAGCGCTCTGGAATAATTTGAGGGGGGTGCGGGTTTCGGACGATGCACGACCCTGTGGCTGGATTCACGACTGTGGTGGGTGCATCTGGCCATGTTATAGGGGGAAGTTCATTCTCATTTTGCCTCCAGCCACAGACTGTGTGGCTGGATAGAGACCAATTACGGAAGTAGTAGAACTGACAGAGACCTTTGAGGGGCTCAGCGCTCTGGAATAATTTGATGGGTCCGGGTCTTGGACGATGCACGACTGTGTGGCTTGATAGAGACCAATTATGGCACCTGGTCCAGATGCAGACCACGCACCTGGTCCTTGCCCAAAGGCAGGTACACTTTCCAGAGCGCTGAGCCCGTCAAAGGTTTCGGACGACGAAGAACTGACAAAGACTTTGAAAATGATGGCAAAAGGGAAGGTACCTGGGGACGATGACCTTCCGGCGGTGGAATTCTTCGCCGCTTCTTGGGATGCTTTTGGTGGTGGGAGATCTGACAGAATTACTATATAATGATATACGAAATGGAGGAAGGCTGGGAGAAGGATCACTAGAGGGGTTATTTCACTGCTGTTCGAGAAAGGAGATCGACGAGAGAGGTGAGCAATTGGCGCCCTATTTCTCAGTTTTTTTTTCTTTTTTTTTCTTTTTTTTTTTTGCAAAATCTATTTCTCTGTTCAAAAATGGGGTGTACAAAGAAACTCGCCAAGACTTCTCACAAGTAGACTGGGAAAGTACTTACCTTGATTAGTGCAGAGAGACCAGGGCCGGGGTCCCACTAGCAAAAAGGATACGATCGAGCTCCTGAATCTGGATGTGTTTTAAGCAGAAATGCAGAAAAGCCGTTCAATCTCGATTTCCTGCACATCTCCATAAACTCGTCCAGATTCAGGCATTCGATCCTATCCTCTTGCTAGTGGGACCACGCCCCAGGGGGCGGTTGTGCAGCTGAGGTCTATATTTGAGAACGTCGTAACAGCAAAATAGAAGCATTGGCGTCAGATTGAGCGGGTTGCCGTTTAACTTAGATAAAATAACCTTGGTTAACTTTGTGTTACCACGTTTAACTTGGTTAAAACTTTGTGTTACCACGTTTAACTTGGTTAAAAGTTAAAACTTAGTGTTACCAACCGGGCTGCTCGGATCACCTTGGTTGCCCGGGTGGCCCGGGTGGCCCGGCCGGGCAAGGGCCAAGAAGGTCCCTGAAAAAAAAGAATTCCAAAAAATCCGAAAAAAAAAACTATGTTGTGCAGAAGAAGACACTGAACAACTTTGCCGGCCGGGCAAGGAGGGCCAGGGAAGGTCCCTGAAAAAAAAATCCCTGAAAAAAAAAAAAACTATGTTGTACTGAACAACTTTTGCCTCAGGGTCGGATCGAAATTATTTGCCAAGTCAAAAATCAAAAAGAAAACCAAAAGAAATATTTGTTTTAATACAAAAGAAATTCATTCGTGGCCCGACGGACAGCCAGATGCAGACCACGCACCTGGTGCTAGCCCAAAGGCATGTACATTTTCAGTGGCCTATTTGCAGCATAACGTTTCCACCGTGGCCCATCTGTGCCATTCTCCGTCCCTTTTCTTCTCTTTTTCGGACTGCGTTATTACAATATTTATTATTTAATATTCAGTATATTTAAACCCCTGAATAAATGTTGGAAAAAAAAAAGCACAGATCAATTTCTAAAAAGCTTCTATTTCCCACTTTCTCAGATATCAGGCAATCTTTCCCACTTATTTCACCCCCTCCCCCTCGAACACCCACTTTTTACCCTCCCTCCCTCTTTTTCTTTCCCCCCCTTAAAACAAACAAGCTCCGATGTATGCCTCTCCACCCTCCCTCTCCCAACATTTCCCCAAAAAAGACAAAAAAGACACACAAGTGGATATGACTAATCAATCATACGAACAGAAATAACACGCAACATCAATCAATCAATCAATCAATCCACTAACTGTGCCTGATCATCACCATGAATCCTATCAATCAACAAGCCCATTAATTATGCATGACCCCATCCATCGACCGATCACTCGGTCGATTAGACGACAGCGCTCGATAGAAGACAAGTGATTCACCTTTATCCATCAATATCAACTGGATCGACCAATCAACCAGGCGAAACAACCAATCAACCAAGCGAAACAACCAATCAATCAAGCGAAACAACCAAATCAATCAAGCGGAATGGCCAATCAATCAAGCAACCGACCAAGTCGACCAATCAAACCAACGAATTAATCGATGATGGATCTACCAACAACTCAATCAAACCAATCAATCAACCAATCAATCAATCAACCAACAATAAACCAATTGACCAATAGCTCAACAAGAAAAACAACTCATCTATCGTTTACTCAATCCTTCATCAATCACCAAGAAAAGAGACTGATCAATCAATCAAGCCAGCAAGCAAGCAAGCAAGCAAGCAAGCAGTGGAAATGTAGGGGGGGGGAGCAGGTCGAAGAAACAGAGACACCACGTGATAATACGGCGAGGATCCGACGAAAGAGTGAGGCTGTCACAACGCCCACATTCTGTACGTCACATTCCGTGAGAATCTACATCCATGGGGAAAATCACCACCATTCGATCAGAACGCTCCCCCTCTCCCCCCCCCCCGCCCCCCTCCTTCGATCCCACCCGGAAAGAACACGGCCTAAACAGACCGTGTTCTTTTTAGGCCGTGAGATGACAAACGAAAGGTTCTTTCCCTTCGAAAAAACACGGAAGGGAAAGCCAGATGGAGACCACGCACCCGAAAGGAAGGCGGGAAAAGAAGCAGAAGGGAAAGAACCTTTACTGGCCTAAACAGACCGCCGTCCTTTCGTTTGTTTCCGTGTTTTTCATTTCTTCCGACTTAGTCCGTCTTCCTCTTCTCCTTTTTTTCCAACCGAACCTTCATTCGCCTCCCTTGTTCTTTCAAAAATCGGATCAATTTTCATTTCTGATTCTATGTGCTAACTTTGATTTCCTTTTTTTTGTCAGCCTTCCACTTTAGGCTGGGAAACGGATAGCCCCCTTCAATAGACATACGCAAAGCCGGTCGACAAGCGTTGGGGAAGGTGCACCTTTTTTCACAAGAGGGCGTTCTCTCTCTCTCTCTCTCTCTCTCTCTCTCTCTCTCTCTCTCTCTCTCTC